CTGCTCTGCCCCACGGCTTCCCCAAGTGCGCCTCTGCTGAAACTGACAACAACGGACTTGGGGAAGCGGCACGGAGCAGAGCAGCTGGAGTGCTGCTGGGCGCCAAGCAGGGGGGTGAGGGCGGGGGGCCAAGCGGGGGGGGGAGGGGGGGCGCTGCTGGTCAGTTTCAGCAGCAGCGGACTTGGGGAAGCGGCGCGGAGCAGCTCCAACTGTCCAGCTGGCCGAAACACTTCCGGGTTCCAGTTGGTGCCGGACCACTAGATGCCAGACAATTAGAGTTTTACTGTTCTTGCAACCCCTCGCAGCTTGGTATCATCTGCAAATGTAATAATCGTACTCTCTATGCCATCTAAAAATCACTGATGAGATATTGAACAGAACTGGCCTCAAAACAGACCCCTGCGGAACCCCACTTGTTATGCCCCTCCAGCGTGATTGTGAACTGTTAAAAAGTACTCTGAGAATGGTTATCCAGCCAGTTATGCACGCACCTTATAGTAGCCCCATCTAGGTTGTTTTTCCCTAATTTATTGATAAAAGGTCACGTGAGACTGTGTCACGTGCTTTACTAAAGTTTAAGTATACCACATCCACCACTTCTCCCTTATTCACAAAACTTGATATCCTATCAAAAAAAGCTATCAGATTGGTTTGAAATGATTTGTTCTTTACAAATCCATTCTGGCTGTTACCTATCACCTTATTTTTTCCAGGTGTTTGCACATGAATTCCTTAATTACTTGCTCCATTAAAAAAGATATTTTGGCATTAGAAAAGGTTCAGAAAAGAGCAACTAAAATGATTAGGGTTTTGGAACAGGTCCCATCTGAGGAGAGGCTAAAGAGACTTGGACTTTTCAGTTTAGAAAAGAGGAGACTGAGGGGGGATATGATAGAGGTATATAAAATCATGAGTGGTGTGAAGAGGGTAAACAAAGAAAAGTTATTTACTTGTTCCCATAACATAAAAACTAGAGGACACAAAATGAAATTAATGGGTAGCAGGTTTAAAACTAATAAAAGAAAGTTCTTCACACAGAGCACAGTCAACTTGCGGAACTCCTTGCCAGAGGAGGCTGTGAAGGCTAGGACTGCAAGAGTTTAAAAAAGAGCCAGATAAATTCATGGAGGTTAAGTCCATAAAAGGCTATTAGCCAGGGGCTAAGGAATGGTGCCCCAGCCTCTGTTTGTCAGAGGCTGGAGAAAGATGGCAGGAGACAATTTGCTTGATCGTTGTCTTCGGTCCATCCCTTCTGGGGCACCGGGTACTGGCCACTGTTGGCAGAGAGGATATTGGGCTAGATGGACCTTTGGTCTGACCCAGTACGGTCATTCTAAATGTTTTTATTATCTTCTCTGGAACAGAAGTTAAACTGACCGGTCTGTAGTTTCCTGGGTTGTTCTCATTTCCCTTTTTATACATGGACACTATATTTGCCATTTTCCAGTCTTCTGGAATCTCTCCTGACTTCCATGATTTTTCAAAGATGATAGCTAAAGGCTGAGATACTGCCTCTATCACCTCCTTGAGTATTCTAGGATGCATTTCATCAGGTCCTGGTGACTTTCAAACATCTAACTTTTCTAAGTAATTTTTAACTTGTTCTTTATTTTTAACTTCTAAACCTAGCCCATTTCCACTAGCATTCAGTAAGTTAGGCATCCCATCACCATCCATCCTTTTGACAAACACCAAAACAAAAAAGTCATTATGCATCTCTGCCTTTTCCAAGTTTCCTGTTATTGTTTCTCCCTCTTCACTGAGCAATGGGCCTACCCTGTACTTGGTCTTCCCCTTGCTCCTAGTTTACTTGTAGAACATCTTCCTGTTACCCTTTATGTCTTTAGCTAGATTTAACTCTTCTTGTGCTTCTGCCTTTCTAATCTTGCCCCTGCATACCTGTGTTGTTTGCTTATATTAATCCTTTGAAATTTGACCTAGTTTCCATTTTTTATACGACTCCTTTTTGATTTTTACATCATGTAAGACCTCCCAGTTGATCCAAGGTGGTCTTCTGCCATACTTTATAATCTTTCCTACTCAGTAGACTAGTTTGCTTTTGGGCCCTTAATAATGTCCCTTTAAAAAACTGCCAACTCTCCTCAGTTGTTTTTCCTCCTAGTCTTGCTTCCCATGGGAAGCAAACTTATCTCTGTGGGTATGTCTACACTAGCTCATTAATTCGAGCTAGGTAGGCAAATGAGGCGACCAGAGTTGTAAATTAAGCCCAGGATTTAAATATCTTGGGCTTTATTTGCATGTTCCCGTCCGATCGCCATTTTGAAATTTCACTAGCCCGAACTCACTGCCTCACGGCTGCACGCGGCAGTGAGTTCGGGCTAGTGAAATTTCAAAATGGCGATCGGACGGGAACATGCAAATAAAGCCCAAGATATTTAAATCCTGGGCTTAATTTACAACTCTGGTCGCCTCATTTGCCTACCTAGCTCGAATTAATGAGCTAGTGTAGACATACCCTGTGAGTTTATTAAAAAAATCTGCCTTCCTGAAATCCATTCTCTCTATTTGCTGTCCTCTCTTCTACCATTCCTTAGAATTATGAACTCTATGATTTCATGATCACTTTCACCCAAGCTGCCTTCTACTTTCAAATTTTCAAACAGTTCCTCACTTTTCAAACAGTTCCTCACTATTTGTTAAATTCAAATCAAGACCAGCTTCCCTTCTAATATGTCTCCAATGCAGTCCAAGAACTTGTTGGATAATCTGTGCCCTGCTGTGTTAGTTTCCCCAACATATGTCTGGATAGTTGAAGTCCCCCATCACCACCAAATCCTATGCTTTGGGTGATTTTGTAAGTTGTTTAAAAAAAGCCTCGTCCACCTTGTCTGCCTGGGTAGGTCTGTGCTAAATGACATATAGGGGTAAATCAGACCCCTAGCATGACATCATCCTTATTTTTTATCCCTTTTAACCTAACCCAGAGACTCTCAACAAGTTTGTTTTCTATTTCCATCTCCATTTTCGTCCAAGTGTATTCATTTTTAATATATAAGGGAACACCTCCTCCCTTTTTTCCTTGTCTATCCTTCCTGAGCAAGCTGAACCCTTCTATACCAATATTTCAGTTGTGTGTATTATCCCCCCAAGTCTCTGTGATACACTGAGATTATTAGAGATGGGAAATGTTGGAGATGGAGAAAAAACAAGCAAGTTTCTAAAAATCCACTACTGTGATGAACTAAGTATTTAAGAGAAAAGAAGCTGATTAAAAAGTTTTATAGGAAGCAAGTTGATGATGTTGAAAAAATTTGAGTCGGATTCACAAACACTATTTTAAACAATGTTTCGTTTTAATACTAGGCTTGGACCAATATCAATATTCTTCTACTGAAGTAGAAATTGAGCAGGAGAAAAATGCCATTTCAAAAATATTTCCATGATAAGGCTTTGAAAGGATTGATAATCTGCCTAAGAAACAGATAATTTGAATTTAATATATGACGAGAGATTGCCATACATCTATTACAAAGAAAAAATTGAGCAGGATGGTTGGTAAGTGGATGGCCAATCTCAGAAAGCAAAGACCATAAATATTAATGGTAGTTCAATATAGCATAGGAGTCAGAAGAAAATCCATTAGTGCCCAACTTCCTGCCCTTTCATTGGCTACTTTTATTGTATGTTTATCAGTTTCATAATATATAGCTTCATACCGCACAAACTGATTTAAATAACTTTAATTTAAGTAACTATCATGACTTAAATCAGTAATCAGGAAAACTTGATTTAAATAATCAATATCTGTTTTGCGTTTGTACTTTCTACTAACGTTTTTAAAGATGGTAACCATTAAAACATGTTGATCTGCAATTAAACATAATCATGTACACCAATGATGGTGCTTCTTTTTGCTAACCTGCACAATACACTATATTTATTTATTTATTCAATTTAAATAATTTGCAGTTATTCAAAGCTTTAATTTTATTGTGTTAGAAAACAGTGAACAATGAATTTCCTATTTTGGATTTTTTTTCTTTTACTAGTGATGTGTATCAAGCTCTATTTGAATGGAAATTCAAATTCTATTAAAATGCACAAAACCAGAATTTTTTTTTTTTTACTAGCACATATACACTGTCAAAAACTGAGTTAGCACTTCAACCAACTGGGTCCAGGTGATTACCCAGTGACTTACACAGTCAGTGATCTGATTTTCATTGAAACTTACCAGCAAACACACATCTTAATTTTTTTGTATTTTAAATTGACATTTTGAAAGGTTACAATAAACTTAGACCTTAAAACAGGTTGAATTTTTCAAATTTAATTTTAAATAGAGGTTTTTAAAAATAAATCTGTATGTAATTTAAATTAAGCTAATCTGATTGTTAAAAAATGCAGATTTTTTATATGATTAAAAACCCACAGTGATTTTATCAGCTCTGATTTCAACAGGAGCTTTGAGGGCTATAGCAATTAGCTTGACATTCCGGTATCTAAGTCTGATTAACACATTCTCCAGGTACTAACTAATGTCACAATTGCAAGTGGTTCAGTATACAAATAAATGCACACAAGACACTAATGTCAAATCTCTACAGAGACGAAGAAACAGTATTTTAAAGTCTGTCTTCATTTTCTAGTATGAAAAAAATGACAATCATTGGATGTTTATGGACGATTCTATGCAATAGAATAATTCACAATATGTAAGTAAACTACAACAAATTAAGTTAAAAACTGTCTACAAACCTGTGCAAAGGCAGCGAAAATTCTCACATGTCTTTGGACACACATCTGAAAACAATTCAAAGACCACTCTTCCAGCTGAAAAAAAAAGTCACATAAATTTATAAAGTTAAATTATATTTGTCTTTACTTGACCATGAAATATATTTTTTTTTGCTGTAACATAATATAGTTTGTACATTATTTTTCTTACCAGGTACATTGTTGATGGCTATGTCAAAAAAGCAACGTGGCCGCTGGACCTTGATTCCCATGACTTCAAAAGTTTAAAGCCTGTGAGCAACAAAAATTTAAAAACTTGAGTTTTTTTCCACTGTGTAGCAAAAATTCACTTCATCTCAACCTAAAAGCATTTTGGAGGGGAAAAAAAAAAGTGTGGCCATTCTGATACATAAGTTAACAAAACTGAGTGTTGAGATATTGAGAAAGGCAGCATTTTTGCTCTCAAGTTGTTTTAAATATGAAATTTTATGAGATGTTAATTTTTGTTCTTTAGGACAAAAAGGAAAAATAAGATAAAAACAGCTTTCTACATACATTAACTTCACATTTTTACTAACTGTGCAAAACTTGTAGGAAAAATGCAATATTTTGTCTCAGAGGGGTAGCTGTGTTAGTCTGTAACTTTACAGACAACAAATAGTCCTGCGGTACCTTAGAGACTAACAAAAATATATACAGTATTATGAACTTTTGTGGGCAAAACCCACTTCTTCAGATGAGATAATCTTGAGTGGAGACAATATTTTGTGTTTTTCTTAAAGCTCTAGCAACACTAGTCAAGGGATTATTATTGTTTGTAGGCCATTGGACTTCTGGTCATGAACCAGAGTCATTACATGCTGTACAAACCAGGGATGGGATAGTGTAATTGTGTAAAAGGTTAACTGATGAGAGGCTCATTGGGTAACCCTCATGGTTACTCATAGGCCCTGTATCAGAGGCAGTAGTGCAAGGGGGAAGGAGGCCGGTAGGAGCAAGTGTGTACAGAGCTACCTGAATAAATGCATTTTATGGCTTTGGATCTTCAGCCCCAAGGCTGAATCAGTAGTCAAAGGGGGCAGGGAGATGAGGTGGAGAGGCACTCAGGCAACTTCTTGGGACCACCTTTGAACGATTTACCAAGAAAAACAAACAATTCCCTAATATAAGACACATTCTTAGATGTAATTAAAAAAATCAGAATACTTTTGCAGTACTTTTCAGTAGGAATAGAAATCAAATGTCACAGATCTACATAAGACAGACAATACTAAATTAATATTAAAGTATGATATGGGAAAGGGGAAATGAGATAGTCCCAAGAGGAAGACATGCAAGGTTCCTTGAGTTTTAAAACTTATACCAAATACCAATTATTTGATATTTGAGTTAGTATATTTGTATACCAAATACCTATGTATTTTAGAAATGGTGTTTATGTCTATCCATGAGTCAGTCTGTTCAAGAACTCCTCAAATATGGTAAGAGCTAAGACCACCAAATTTGCTATGCAGCTTCCTCTTATCCTAACTTAAAGCAAGGTCAGAGCTTGGCTGTGTCATGAAAACGGGAAGTGCTGGGAAAGTGACTTTTTTCCATAACATGGAAAGGAAGAGGGCACAGAGAAGAGAGATGTGATACTGTGAGTGGCCACTGCAGGCAGCAAGTGCAGGGGAGAGCTATATTGCAGACTGACCACTGGGGCCAGTAGCATACCGAAGAGAGTGGCCAGCAGGGCTGGGGCTCATCATCTTGCCTGTCACCTGACAGGGTAAGTAGCTCCCCTGACCTGAGCCCTCTCTCCCTGCCCTTGGCTGCAGCTCCAGGCAGGAGTGGAAGGCCCCTGACAGTTGGGGCAGAGGGGCTGTCGGAGAAGAGAAGGCCCCTGCTGGCCAGCAGAGGATGTGTATGTGGAGGAGAAAAGACCCTGTTAGCCAGGGGAGATTGGAAGAGGAAGTGAAGGTCCCGTCAGCTAAGGGAGCTAGGAAGAGAGAAGGCCCTGCCAGCTGGGGGAGCTAGAAAGAGAGAAGGCCCCACTGGATGGGACCCCCCTCCACCCTGAGCCCTTCCTCATCCCCAACCCTCACTCACACACCCTTGCACATCCTCAGGCCCTCAACCCCCACCCTGACTCTTGCACTCCCCTTACTCCCAGCCTCCTGCCCTGTCACCCCCACATCCTCAAGGCCCTGCCCCCTGCACCCCCATAGCGCCAGCCACCTACCCTGGAGGACCCAGGCAATGCCAGATAAGTCTTCTAGTAGATAAATAAATAGAACTGACTAGCCTAAAAAAATGTTGCGTATGACAAATACTTAGATCCTGGGTTACCCCCCACTATTTATACAAAAAAGAAAACATTATAGCTATGTGTTTTACATTCTGCAACAGCTGCTCACAGAATTTACAAGGTACATGGTCCCTGCCTTGTAATAGTTGTGCAGTTTATACTGTTAAAGAGATTTCAGCCTATGGACGTCATAATTCCAGAGCAGACAGCCAGACTGGGTCAGATCAAAGGTCATCCAGCCCAGTACCCTGTCTGCCGACAGTGGCCAATGCCAGGTGTCCCAGAGAGAGTGAATTGAACAGGTAATGATCAAGCAATCTCTCTCCTGCCATCCATCTCCAACCTCTGACAAACAGAAGCTAGGGACACCATTCCTTACCCATACTGGCTAATAGCCATTAATGGACTTAACATCCATGAATTTATCTAGTTCCCTTTTAAACCCTGTTATAGTTCTTGCCTGAGGAGGTTGTGAAGGCTAGGAGTTCCACAGTTGACTATGCGTTGTCTGAAGAAGAACTTCCTTTTATTTGTTTTAAACCTGCTGCCCATTAATTTCATTTGGTGGCCCCGAGTACTTATATTATGGGAACAAATAGCTTTTCCTTATTCCTTTTCTCCATACCACTCATTTTTTATACCACTATCATATCCCCTTCCTTAGTCTCCTTGTTTCCAAGCTGAAAAGTCCCAGTCTCTTTAATCTCTCCTCATATGGGACCTGTTCCAAACCCCTAATCATTTTAATTGCCCTTCTCTAAACCTTTTCTAATGCCAATATCTCTTTTTTGAGATGAGGAGACCACATCTGTACGCAGTATTCAAGATCTGGGCGTACCATGAATTTATATAAGGGCAATAAGATATTCTCCATCTTATTCTCTATCCCTTTTTAAATGATTCCTAACATCGTTTGCTTTTTTGACTGCTGCTGCACACAGTGTGGATGTCTTCAGAGAACTATCCACGATGACTCCAAGATCTCTTTCCTGATTAATTGTTGCTAAATTAATCCCCATCATATTATATGTATAGTTGGGTTATTTTTTCCAACGTGCATTACTTTACATTTATCCACATTACATTTCATTTGCCATTTTGTTGCCCAATCACTTAGTTTTGTGAGATCTTTTTGAAGTTCTTCACAGTCTGCCTTGGTCTTAACTACCTTGAGCAGTTTAATATCATCTGCAAACTTTGCCACCTCACTGTTTATCCCTTTCTCCAGATCATTTATGAATAAATTGAATAGGATTGGTCCCAGGACTGACCCTTGGGGAACACCACTAATTACCCCTTTCCAGTCTGAAAATTTACCATTTATTCCTACCCTTTGTTTCCTGTCTTTTAACTAGTCCCCCATCCATGAAAGGATCTTCCCTCTTATCCCATGACAACTTAATTTACATAGAGCCTTTGGTGAGGGACCTTGTCGAAGGCTTTCTGGAAATCTAAGTACACTATATCTACTGGATCCTCCTTGTCCACATGTTTGTTGACCCCTTCAAAGAACTCTAATAGATTAGTAAGACATGATTTCCTTTTACAGAAACCATGTTGACTTTTGCCCTACAAATTATGTTCTTCTATGTGTCTGACAATTTTATTCTTTACTATTGTTTCAACTAATTTGCCCAATACTGACGTTAGACTTACCGGTCTGTAATTGCTGGGATAGCCTCTAGAGCCCTTTTTAAACATTGGCATTACATTAGCTAACTTCCAGTCATTGGGTACAGAAGCTGATTTAAAGGATAGGTTACAAAACATAGTTAATAGTTCCACAATTTCACATCTGAGTTCTTTCAGAACTCTTGGGTAAATGTCATCTGGTCCCAGTGACTTGTTACTGTTAAGTGTATTAATTAATTCCAAAACCTCCTCTAATGACACTTCAATTGGTGACAAGTCCTCAGATTTGTTACATACAAAGGACAGGTCAGGTTTGGGAATCTCCCTAACATCCTCAGCCATGAAGACAGAAGCAAAGAATTCATTTAGTTTCTCCGGAATGATTTTATCATCTTTAAGTGCTCCTTTTGTATCTCAATCGTTCAGGGGCCCCACTGGTTATTTAGCAGGCTTCCTGCTTCTGATGTACTTAAAAAACATTTTGTTATTACCTTTTGAGTTTTTGGCTAGCTGTTCTTCAAACTCCTTTTTGGCTTTTCTTATTACATTTTTACACTTAATTTGGCAGTGTTTATGCTCCTTTCTATTTACCTCGCTAGGATTTGACTTCCACTTTTAAAAATGTCTCTCGCTGTTGTTAAGCGCTTCTTTTACCCGGTTGTTAAGCCACAGTGGCATTTTTTGGGGTCTCTTACTGTGTTTTTTAATTTGCCCAACTCCACTATACTTGACTGGATATGGGTTGTTAGGCACTCATAATTTTAAAAGATTGAAAATATGAACAATTATATGGCTTGCTACTAATTAATAAAATTTACCTACATTTAATCCATTCCCTCTTCTGGTGGATTATACTAGACCTATCTCACCAATAGATTCTCTGCTCACAGAGAGCACTTCAGTTATTAACTTGGGATCACATGTGCCATTAAGTGAATTGCTTGGTACAGTCGTTCCCTGAATGCTAGAGCAAATGTAGTCTTTTATAATTTTGGCTAATTTTGTACTATAATTCAATTTCTGAAACATGCTTTTAATTGAATTTTTAGAGACAAAAGGAAATTAAGGTGCAGTGTCTCTGATTGGAGTAGGATCGTTTGAAAATGCAGTTCATCAAGAGAAAAATCTATATTAAACATTAAGATTGTTGTGCTTCTCTGCACGTTGTTGAGGGACAAAAAAGTCCTGCTGTATGAAAGAAATTGATGTGTTGGTATACATTAGAAGTTATTTTTCTCTCATTCAGCGTATCACCAGATGGGACAATATCGCAGCAGACAATTATGCACTCAGAAAAAAACAGTAAACTGGGGCTATGTATAGACTACATGGCTCTGTCGACAGAGCCAT